TGACAGAGTGAGCTCCTTTCACTTGTCCCAGCTCCTGCCAACCTAGCAGTTCGAAAGCATGTAAAAAAGTGAGTCGATAAATAGGTACTACCACGGTTGGGAAGATAACAGCGTTATGTGTCTAGTCGCGCTGGCCACGTGACCATGGAAACGGTCTACGCTGGCTTTATGGCTTGGAAACAGGGATAGCACCACCCCCTAGAGTCGGACACGACTGGACAATTTGTCAAGGGGAACCTTTACCTTTCCTTAGACTCGTGGAATCCCCACCGATTCATTGGGCCTGCTTAAATTGTGACTTACTGTGCCAAGCAACAGGATTTCAGCAATTGCCTGAGTGTTTAGTACTAGACTGACATGTGTGCTAGATTGACAGTTGAGTTTTTAAAAATCTCTCCCTTTTCCCCTTTAAATATTAAAGGCAAATGAAACTTCAGAAGCAGGTCTCCAGACAAAACTGAAGCAGTTGGCTCGACAAGCACTGGACAGGTAAGCTTCTCAGCAGTTGGTTCAGATATATTGTGTGATGGATCCCATCAGCTCTGTAGAGTTAAGAAATAATTTTCACTGCTTGTCTTTCATTTTGTAGAGGCATGGGAAGCCCTCCTGGTAATGTAAGGTTTTTGGAAGCCTTGCCAACTGACAGTATGCCATTCCCTCAATGCAAACAGTACTCAAAAGGTCCCTGGTCTGTAGGGAGAGGGTTTTGCACAAGGACCCTACTGGATCTACCTTGCTTGTTCATGCTTATGTTTAAATGTCAGTGGTAATGTACTGTATGGGTTGTTTGTTTTTTTTTGGAAGTTTTGCAAATAAAACAACTGGACTAGTTTTTTAGAATAGAGACTCTTATGACCCATGAATTTGTGCAGCCAGTGGTGAAGATCATGGACATTAAAGTTCAGCAGCATGGGAAAATTAGATGTTTCCCCTCCATGTAGGGAGCAAACGTACCTCGTGTAGGTAATAGTGAATGTAGCATTTGCAGATTGATGAAGGTCCAGAGGCATTGCACTAACAACAAAGTAAGAAGTGGTTTTTAAGGGGGCGGGTGAGGAAGCCTGTTTGAAACTTAAAAGCCTATTCTGATTACAGTATCTGTTTTTTGTGTTTAGGCACAGTCTTGGAATAACAGAGTTAAATTTCTGCTCCACCTGATTTCTGTTGTTTATTTTCTTTAGCAAGAATTAAACAGAGTGGTTTCCCTGACACTTTAATAAATCTGATAAGCACAAAGTGACGTAACAAAGTAGGTGAATTGAAATTCTGATATCACTCTTGCTGAGTTTACCATTGTTTAACTCTTCTTGTTTTAGAGCTGAGGCACTGAAAGACTTAAAGCCATGTCAGAAAGACAAACCTGTGGTGAAACAAAATCAGCCTGTGAGGACCTTCTTCCCGCTGGGACCTGATTTTTCTTTGAACGATAAGCCACAGACCGTTAGGCCTGTGCATGCCAGTGAACCTCAGGGTCAACGATACACTGCAGAGGAGATTGAGGTGCTCAGGTAAAGGAAAGGAAGATGTTTTTAACTTCTGTTGTGGGAGGGAGAAGCTTTCTTGGCCTAGAGTTGATTTACAGTTTGGGAAGATCCTGAGAGGCTCCCCTTTAGCACTGGTTAGGGCTCAAGACAGGAGATAAGGCCAAAGCAAAGTAGGCAGGACCAGATATAACTCCTCACCAGCTGGGACATTTTGCCACCAGTTCTGGTTATGTCTCTTCTGGAGTTAACCTCAGTGCTGCAGATTCCTGGGTTGCATACAGGAGTGCCATTTCATGCAACAATTTCCCAGGCTTTAAGCTGCTTCCTGTCTCCAGTCATTGACTGGAGATAATAGCAGCAGCAGCAGCAGCTTGGCAGCTGAATGGGCCAACTTTATTATTATTTTTAACCCAGCATGTATTATTGATGTTTACAGAAGAGTTTATCCAAATGACCACATGGCATTTGTCCTAATAACATTTTTCTCATAATGCAAATAAATTCAGTAAATAACATTGGCAGAATATACAGTTGGGGGGAAAATCCATATTTGTGGGCAATTAATAAGCATTGCTGCTGATATTCTCTCCCAACTTTTTGAAAAAAAAAGCCAAAGGTAAGACTTTGCATAGGACTTAAGGCTACAGTAGTAGTTGCATATCTTGTGAGCTGACAGGCTTAAAAGAGATGTAGCAGCACGGTAGTTTGTGGAAATGAATGTATTTTTTAAAAATCTGTTATTCCTAGATAGCTCCACGTTTTAACCAGGACACTGGTCATTTGGTACGTTTGGTATTTCTTAAAGAACAGAACACTGTGTATAGAGCTGTTGTTTTAGTGTCTGGCCATTCAGTGCCTGTGGTGCGAACATATTGCAGTGTAAGTGATGAGGCACTGCGAAGTCATAGCAACAGCACCTTTCCTTGAACAAAGAGGGCCAGATTTCCTTCAGCAGATTAGTTGTACAAGGTGCAACACTTCTTACTTCATCTTGACATACTATTTGAATAGTTCTGAGGCAAATAATAAGCTGTGTTACATTAACTGTTAAATGTTCACAGTCAAATTTCTCCACAACCTTGAAAGGAAAAATCATACAAATTCCTGAATAAACTCATCATGTTAACAGAACATTTGACACTAAATTGAAGGAAGAGAAGTACTTTATGCATGAGATCACCCACAGCATCCTAATCAGGTTGATATCCTTAAAATGTAGTGCGGGAGCCTAAGGTTTATTCCAGCTGAACAAAAAGAGATTGACATGATAGGTAGTAAGCTTATTTTGAATAATATTTTGCTCTTGACACCTTGCATCTTATCTCAACAGGAAGACGTCAAAAATAAATGGCATTGAGTATGTCCCATTCATGAATGTTGACCTGAGAGAGCGTTTTGCTTTTCCAGTACCATTCTCGTATGTGAATATAAATTTATTTCTGTGCTATTTGAAGTGCTTTCTCATATATTATGATCTCTTACGTTCTTTGCAGTTTTCAGTGTCAGGTGAACAGCAGTCAAACAGTACCTTTAATCCTTAATGGCAGGGTGTGTGAAGAAGAAAAACTCATTGCTTTCTGCTCATATTAAGGGACCCATTCAAATTTTAGAAGCCGAGGTATTGCTTAGCATCTGGAGAATCAATGCTAAACATTTTCCAGGCTGCCAATTCCAACTATGCTGTCTTGCTAATTTCTGGGTCATTTAGAGCCATTCATGAGGATCCTAGTAGCAAAACTGAATTTAGGGTTGGAACATGGAATGTAGGAGGTGGGAGGCTGGGAGCTAGAGGAAGCAAGAATATGGAGTGCTGGGCCCATCTGCTTCTAGGAACTTAAGAGGTTACAAGAAAATCTTCAGGAGAAGACTTCTTTAATTGCCCCCCTATAATATATGATGCAATTATTTACTAATCCATGGACTTTATACTTAACAAGCAGATATTTTTTAATTTCAGAGATAAATGTGGCAAGTTGCCTTTGTCTCCCAAGCAAAAGGCAATATTTTCTCGATGGGTGCGGCCAGATGAAATAACAAACAATCCCACAATGATCTATACTGTGTCAAGCTTCAGCATAAAACAGGTAAGGACGGATTTTATTTTTTAATGTTTTGTGTGTGTTTTCTCGATCTGCCATTAGAATCAGATTAGAGCTTCTGAATTAATGTTCTTCATATCAAGCAAATGCTATTTTCTCTGTGTATTTCCCCCCATGATTTGTGCTATTTGTGTACTGCATTCAAATTTATTTACTCACATAAATAGCCAACCCTATTGTGTTGCTTTTTAGCAGCTGCATTTACAGTGTGTGGAGCAAAAAAAAGAATTTAACTTGGAATACTTACCCTGACTCAGTTACTTTCGTAAGAAAAAAAGAGGAAAACAAGCTCCATTCCTGTCTGAAACAAGGACTGGCTATCTTCTTTCTTGTTCTTTTTTGAGCACCAAGAGGTCTCACAGGCTTAGCATCTCTCCTCTACCTCTCCTCCTCAGCATAATGGATTAATTAGTCCTTGGGTCATAGCTGAGAAAGCAGAATTGCTATTTTCTTTGCAGTCATTGGTGTAGAGGAACCATTTATGTGTAACAACAAAGGAAATAGTGGAAACTTTTGCTTTACAAGTTTAGAGGAAAACAAACATTAAACCCAATCTCAGCCATTACAGTAGCGAGAGAATAATCTCCTTTCTGAGTTTGGTCCAACAGGATACCTAACAAATGTTGCACCTAGTTTCTGGCACCTTACATTGACAAGAACATCTTTTGCCATATTGTAAGTTTTGTTTTGGGTTTTTAAGAAAATTTGCATTGACAGTTTCTAGTGTATTTGCCTTAAGCAGGATCACAGGTTTTTCCTATTTGTTTATTATGAAAAAGGAAACTAAACTATTTGCTGTTTTCTGTACTCTGTATTCTCTTTTTTTCTTCTCAGACCATTGTATCAGATTGTTCTTTTGTTGCTTCACTCGCGATCAGCGCAGCATATGAAAGACGATTCAGCAAGAAGTTGATAACCAGGTAGGCTCTGTTTTATCCTTCCTGTGTGGTTCAGGAGGTCTTGTTTTTTTCACTAGTTCTGTACAGTGTTTCTCGGCCTTGCCCCCCCCCTTTAAAAACAATGTGGGTTGTTTTGTTCACTTGTCCACTTGGTGTATCCTCAATCCCATTTTTGCTCTGGACTCTGCCATTTTCTAGTCATTGTTCTATTGAGTTCCTGCATTTCCATAGTAAAGGTTGTAATTTTTCCATAATAGCTGTTGACCAGCGATGGTGCTCAAGGAAGTGACAGTGTATAGATTTTTTTTAATCTAGAAAAACTTGGATTTAAAAACAAGTTATTTGAAAGTGCTTGATTGTCAAGATTGCAGTTCTCTGTGTGGTCAAGAAGAGAACATAGTGAGATTGGCTTCTATGAAGATCAGAATTAGAAAAGAGAGAGTGTATATTGAGTTGTATTGGGTTGGATATAGAGCTATACTGGGAGGGGAGGTGGGTGATGCTGCTGTCCTGTGAGCTGTTGTGTAGAGGTTGTGGAAGGCATTGTGTTGCCATGTGTAAGGAGCTGTACAATACTTTGGGCTTGCACACAGCTTGAGACACTGTACAGAAGAGTGCACAATGCCTTTCATGAATAGATGCATTCTTCTAGAGTTCAGATTCCCCTTGTGTCTTGTGACATACTTGTGTTAAATCAATAAAATCCCTCTACTCAAGAAAATTAAGTTATTGGATCAAAGCCATTGCTTGGGACTAAACTTTTCAAAGTTGAGTACCCACAGTTTTCTCTCTAAGGCTAATTGAGTTGTAAAGTGTACTGATATAAAAGCAAAGCACCCGATGAAGGCCTGTATTTCTTCATTCTTTATATTTATTTATTTATTTATTTACAATATTAATGAAGGCCTGTATTTCTTCATTCTTTCATATTGCTGAGGCATAAGGTTTCCCTTGTAAGGCCTTGCATATGTATGGTGATGCCTAAATCTAACCATATAAATGTCAGACCTTTAATTTCATACCACAAGAAGTCCTTTTGTCTGTAATTGGTGAGTTATATAATTCAGTACTGCCTTCGTATGATGAGAACAACACAAACAGAAACTAGTCCAGCAAAAGAATGAAAATGTGCCAATGAGGCATTGTGTAGCCCCAATAACCTGTATTCAGGCATTAGAACACCCCTAGCTCTGCCACTCCATTGTCACTTTCTCCTTGCAGTGCAGGAGGAATCGGAAGAAATGTTCCTGTCTTCTGTATATAGGCTGTCTAGACAAGCAAGAACCCATATCTTCCTGGATTCTTCCTTTTAGGCAGAGCGATGCATATAACGTTGGATCAAGGCAGGGCGAGGTGCTTCCTTTTCAGCATGTGCAGGACATTTAAATGCCTGAGTGGGGCTTAATTTGTGTTTATTGTGTTTCTTTGATTCCTTCAGAAAAATCCCTGTCCTCCTGTTTCTGTAGAGTTTTGTTTTCCTTGCAGAGTTTTACTCTCCCATGTGAACAGGCATGTCTCCGTTCCAAAGCGAGATAACATGGGATAGTCTTCAGCACCACTCTTACCTGAGCTCTGAATTGATAGTGTTGGATGTGACATCATTCACAGCATGCGTGCAAAATGTGAACTAATCTTGTTCCCCCTCTCTGTACCTCATTTCATCAAAATAGCATCATCTACCCACAGAATAAAAAAGGAGAGCCAGAATATAATCCTTGTGGAAAATACATGGTCAAGCTACATATCAATGGTGTCCCTAGGAAAGTAAGTAACTGATTATTTGTTTCTTTGTTTGCCTTATTTATAGACCACCTTTCTCCTGATCGGGAGACTCAAGACGGCTTATGGTATTCAGAAGAATAGAATAGCTAAAGGTTAAAAGGGAGAGGCCAACCTGGTCTCTCAAAGAGAGAGTATTCCATAACCTGGGAGCAATCAGAGAAAGTAACTTCTCTTGTGTTCCCCCATTGCTCTGGTAATGGGACTGAGAGCAAGGCCTTCTCTGATGATCTTAAGTGCCAAGAAGGCTCATATGGGGAGATGCAGTCCTTCAGTTAGTTACTTGCTTAACTCATTGTACCAGGAGTTCTTCCATCACATTGAACAATTGAGTTAAATGTCATAGCATTGTGTGTAATGGCTCGGCCACTTCACCTTTTTTTATTTTCTTCAGAAGGTCTTTGTCCCAGGTATAGGCTTCTGTTTGGGCTGTCCGTTTGATCTCTTTCTTCCTCCCTCTCCAGGTGATAATTGATGACCTGTTACCAGTAGATCACAGTGGAGAACTTCTCTGCTCTTATTCCAACAACAAAAATGAACTCTGGGTATCATTGATAGAAAAGGCATACATGAAGGTCATGGGAGGCTATGATTTTCCAGGGTCAAATTCAGTGAGTACTCATTTCTTCATGTCATGAAGCGAACTGTTTATTTGGGCAAATGTTCTATGGGAGATCCCTCCTGTCATAGCATAGGCTAGAGAAGATAAAATAGATGGTTCAAGACCTGTGGGAAAAGGTATATTACCATTTGAGGGCAGAATCCTGTTCTGTTGTTCCACTTTGTTAGCAATCCATCGTGTAAGCAGTTTGATGTTTGTGGATAAGGAAGTATCCAGTACCTCATTAATGCAAGCAGAAAATCTGTTGGTTTAAACAGGCGCTCTGTACAGTCCCCCTTTTGCAGTGATGACCAAACAGAGATATGCTGGTAGAGTGGAATGCGCCACAGGCATTTCATCAGGATTTTGCCCAGTGTATTGAGATGTGAATCGTTTTTCAGCAGGATAAATCTTCTCTGTTGAGAATAAGTAATATTGTGAACCAGGTCCTTTAAAGGAATGGTGGCAGAAAACACAGCATGTCTTTACGGAGGCCTCATACTCTAAAGATGAAATTGTGGATGCTAAAGATGTGCAGATTTATAATTTTTTGGACTACAACTCCCAGACCTTTTCTGAGGAATTCTGTGAACTGTAGTCCAAAACCACAGATCTGCGCACCACTAAATACACAATATTGAGTCATGCCCCATTTCCTTGATTTCTAGCTACTGCCCTTTGTCACTGTCACATTTTGAGCTTAATCTTCTGCGGCTGTGAGGGAAGTGTTATACTTGACACCAAAGGTAATAAAAGGAAAGAAATTAAACACGGTAGTTCTTTCTGTCCTGAACTCTAATCTGAAAGTTTCTGGTGGCTGTTCTAAAATTCAATGTATCAGGTGAACAAGCAAGATGAGCATTCTGTATTTTTAGAGTGTAACTTCTTCTCTTCTATTTAGGCATAATAATGGGGGTGGGGGGGATAAAATGTGAGATTTTCAGAAATGTATGTTTATTGAAAACAGGAGTGTTTTTCTTCATATCGATCCAGGTGAGCAAAATGCAGCCTTCTAAATGTGGTTGGATTGCAACTCCCAGCATTCCTTGGGAGTTACAGTCCAACAGCATTTGGAGGACGGCACTCTGAGCGCCTCACCATAGATGACACTGATACAGCTCAGCTCTGAATTGTTCTTCCTTTCTGTTCTGCCTGTGTTTCAGAACATTGATCTCCATGCACTGACAGGGTGGATACCTGAACGGATTGCTATGCACTCAGACAATCAAAGTTTTAACAAAGACAATTCCTGTTTGAAGCCTGTTTTAAATGCTTGCAATCGTGAAAAGCAAGAGAGAGAAAAAATCACCAAAAATTAACGACGACTCAGAACAACACCAAATTAAGTTTGCATAGGTTTCAGGAGGTGGGCTAATGATTGCAAGCATTAATCTGTTCCAATTGGAACGGATTAACCGGTTTTCAATGCATTCCTATGGGAAATGGTGTTTCACTTAACGATGTTTTCACATAACGATTTTTTTATGGAACCAATTAACATCATTAAGCGAGGCACCACTGTATTGAGTCATGCCCCATTTCCTTGATTTCTAGCTACTGCCCTTTGTCACTGTCACATTTTGAGCTTAATCTTCTGCGGCTGTGAGGGAAGTGTTATACTTGACACCAAAGGTAATAAAAGGAAAGAAATTAAACACGGTAGTTCTGTCTGTCCTGAATTCTAATCTGAAAGTTTCTGGTGGCTGTTCTAAAATTCAATGTATCAGGTGAACAAGCAAGATGAGCATTCTGTATTTTTAGAGTGTAACTTCTTCTCTTCTATTTAGGCATAATAATGGGGGTGGGGGGATAAAATGTGAGATTTTCAGAAATGTATGTTCATTGAAAACAGGAGTGTTTTTCTTCATATCGATCCAGGTGAGCAAAATGCAGCCTTCTAAATATGGTTGGACTGCAACTCCTAGCATTCCTTGGGAGTTACAGTCCAACAGCATTTGGAGGACGGCACTCTGAGCGCCTCACCATAGATGACACTGATACAGCTCAGCTCTGAATTGTTCTTCCTTTCTGTTCTGCCTGTGTTTCAGAACATTGATCTCCATGCACTGACAGGGTGGATACCTGAACGGATTGCTATGCACTCAGACAATCAAAGTTTTAACAAAGACAATTCCTTCAGAATGCTTTACCAAAGGTAATTATCCTCTAGGGCAGCGGTCCCCAACCTTTTTGGGACTGCGGACCGGCTGAGCCTCTGAGGAGGACAGGGCACCCCTGTGCTCGCACTCTTGGGCGCATGTGCGCGCGTGCAGGGGCGCATGTGTGAAGGGGTGGGGGACACGCCCGCAAAGCAACTGTGGGGAGGGGAGTGCATGGGGGGGCAGGAGGTCTGTCTCCGCATCCCAGTCCAGCTCAGGCCACGGCCCGGCATTGGGCCTTGGACCGGGGGTTGATGACCTCTGCTCTATGGTTACGGTTATATAAACAGAACAGTGTGATGGTGCTGTTTGTTGGAGCCCCCAGCTGACGGTAATTTTAAGAATAAAAATAGATCAACATGTTTTTGACTGCATCTGTATCTATGCCTTTGCTCCTCTTGAAAAAAGATAGATTTAGAAGATGGCATGTAGAACTTATCTGGGGAGTGTTATGTTTCGATTCCTTGATCATTAACTAGTTTTAAAAAGAAGTGGGCAACATATGCACCTCTTTTGGATGGGATTGATATACATATGTTTTTCAGCACCTCAAAAATAGTAGAGTGAGAATCTGAGGCTGTGGTATGTTTGCTGTTCAAACTTTGTATGCTTCAGATTCCACAGCTAGGTGTGGATGACTTCGGGAAATGCTTAGAATCTGGCTTCACTGGAAGTATTAAGTTCTGAAGTTTCTATGGAAGTCATTGGTAGTGGCTGCAGTTCCTGAAAGTAGCTCTTCAGTATTTTCTACTCTCCTGTTTTCCTGCCCCAGTCACCTCTGGGAAGCCCCAGTTTGCAGTCACTGGTTTTCAGCTTTCCCAAGTGCCCTCCACCAACTTTTATTCCTCTTTAGAGCAGTAGATGGGCAAGCAGTCGGCACCAATTAACTCTTTTTGGAAGCATCCACTAAAGCAAATTTTCCTATTCTTGGTGGCCAGATTTCACAAAGGGGATGTGCTTATTACAACAGCTACTGGAATGATGACAGAAGAAGAAGGAGAAAGATGGGGTTTAGTGCCTACCCACGCCTATGCTGTTCTGGATATTAGGGAATATAAGGTATCTTTTACCATCTTTGATTTTACCACATCTGTTTCTATATGTGTCTATTTGTGGCACTGCTCAAAGTCTACTAGGGAGAGAAGCCTTGATTGATGTTGTTCTTAATCAGGTTTATCCAAATGTACTGAGAATATAATGAGTTTCTTTCCTGCACTCATAAGAAAATTGGCTAGTGGAATAATCCAGGTATTCTGTATTCCCTACTTCTCTAGGGGCTTCGATTCCTCCAGTTGAAAAATCCCTGGAGCCACCTACGCTGGAAAGGAAGATACAGTGAAAATGATGTGAAGAACTGGACCCCTGACCTTCAGAAGTACCTAAATTTTGATCCCAAAACAGCCCAGAAAATAGATAATGGTAAAGAAGCAGTGTATAAGAAACATGATTACAGCTGACTCTTTTATCCCCAGGCCATTTAGTAGAATAGGAAAGGAACACTGGAAATTTTGAAGAAATCCCACCTTGACAAATCCCTGTCATGATAAGAACTAAGCATTCTAGTCCTTCTGTCCATGATGGACAGTGGAAAATGTGATGTCTCTAGCTGGCATTTCACTTGCAAACTTCAGTTCCTCCCTGTACGTAGGTGGGCCTTAGAGAATGCATATACTGTAACTATTGACGAAACATAGTTGGTCAGCGACGCAGTGTTACACACTTACCTCAGAGTAAGCCCCACAGGACACAGTAGGACTTCCTGCTGAGTAGGCGTTCTTAGGATTTGCACAATGAAGCTTAGTGCTTTGACTCAACTAAGAAGGTAGGGTTAATTATTTCCACTGATTCCTGCTGTGTGCTTTTAAACTTTCACTCAGCAACAGCTTTGAAAAATGTGCTGTTTGGTTTTTAAGCAATAGGATCAAAACTGCAAAAGCAAGTGTAATTAAAGTATTCAAATCCCTGTGTGGAATAAAAGTGCTTTACATAGTTATTTTCTGTTACTATATATAGAAATCACAACACAGCAAGTAATTAAAACAAAACTCCTGATACAATTCAATACAGTGGTGCCTCGACTTAACAAACGTCCCGACATACGACCATTTCGAGTTACGACCAGCTCCAGCCGCAAAATTTTGCTTCGATTTGCAGCTGGAGCTTCATGTTACAACCAGAAAAAGGCAGGGAATTCAAATTGCTAATGGTTGGTGGCGAAGAGGCTGCTTCTTTGTAGCTCTTTCGCCCCAGCAGTTAGAGTATGGGATTGGAGGAGGCTTTGGACTCGCTGGTAAGGTGCTGCTTTCTACTTTTAAAAAACTGTTCTGGTGGGTTTTGCAGTGTGGTTTTGGGCTGGGTGGTGGGATTATGTTTCTATACTGTGATGGGTCTTGCAGGGTTTTTTTGTCTTGTTTTGTTTTTCCAATTCATGATGAGTCTTGTAGGGTTTGCTTTTGGGGGTTTGTTTTCCCCATTTCCGAAGCTTTTTGTGGTGTTTGTTTGCTTTTTTTTTTTTTCATTTCCGACGGGCCTTGCACAGTTTGTTTGTTTTTTGCTTTGTTTTTTTTGCTTTTCCAAAGGGTTTTGCCCAGTTTGTTTGCTTTGTGCCGTGGGATTATGTTTCTATACTGTGATGGGTCTTGCAGGGTTTTTTTGGTCTTGTTTTGTTTTTCCAATTTACAATGAGTCTTGTGGGGTTTGCTTTTGGGGGTTTGTTTTCCCCATTTCCGAAGCTTTTTGCGGTGTTTGTTTGCTTTTGGTTTTTTTTTCCATTTCTGATGGGTTTTGCACAGTTTGTTTGCTTTCTGCTTTGCTTTTTTTGCATTTCTGATGGGTCTTGCACGGTTTGTTTGCTTTTTCCCCCCCTTCGGCCAGAACAGGTTAATCATGTTTCCGATGGGTCTTGCAGTTTTTTGGTGATTTTTTTCCTTCGGCCAGAACAGATTAATTCCATTTCAGTGCATTCCTATGGGAAATGGTGCTTCAACTTACGACCATTTTGAGTTATGTCCGGAGTTCCGGAACCAATTAAGTTCGTAAGTCGAGTTACCACTGTAGTAGCAATAACACTGTAGACAAAAAATTGGTATAACTCAGCTGCAGTTCAGAGCACACTCTCCTGGGAGTTAAGTGCAATAGTCTCTCTATGTGCTAGGTGTAACTCAGCTGCAATTCAGAGCACACTCTCCTGGGAGTTAAGTGCCAGTGAATTCAGTGTCCCCAATATACAAGGTCACATTGTCTTTATTCTCTTCTCTGTAAGTAATGCATTGCATTTATGCCAAAGCACAGATGTACAAAGAGTTTCCTTTGCTATTTACTGATTCATTATCACTGGTGTTTTATTCCTTGTGCTCCTAAGATACCTCCTGGGACAAGGGTGCACAGTCATTGTGCTTCTAAGGCCCACAACCAGTGTCCACTTTGGGGAACCAAGGCAGCACTTATGGGCAAGCCCATATGCATATATACGCCTTTCCCCATAGAATCCTCAGTATGCAGATATACGAGAGGCTTAACTATTTTTCCCTGTCTACTAAGATGAAGGCCCCTCCCATCCCTAACAGTCACTATTAAAATTGCCAGTTTTCTGTCACTTCTGGCAATAAGAAATGAGCCATCTCAGAAGCCAAGGTGCCAAAACCTTTTTCTGTATAGTGCAGCTGATCATCTAGGTTCAAGGGAAAGTAATTGGCCTCTTGCCAGCTTTGGGAGCACCAAGAGGGGTCACCAAGAGCCATCTGGAGCTCTAGGGACTTCAGCCTCTTCTGTAGGAGATACGTTAAAGCGGTTTGTCTCTTCTGTAGGATTATAACATGTGCATATTAAATTTGCTTTTAAAGGGTATATAACATTTTAAACCCACGTGTTTTTCCCTCTTGTAGGGATTTTCTGGATTGCCTGGGAAGATCTGTGCAAGTATTATGATGTTATTTATTTGAGCTGGAACCCAGGTCTTTTTAAAGAATCAACATGTATTCACAGGTTTGTCCAATAGAAAGTGATGTGAAGTACATTTATTCCCAGTATTCCTATAATTTTATTTTTCTGGGTACCCTAACATAACACTGGATTAATCTAATATAGTACGTAGTTGTTACTGTTTCAGAACTTTTTACATGATGCACAGTGTTTTTACAGGGTCTGAAATATTTCTTTAATTTTGGTTTATTTTCTGTTGTTTTCCCAACTATATAATTCCTTTGTTCGGGTATTCAATCTTACTTACTATTTTTATTGTTTCTTCTCCTCCTGACTCTCACAAGCCACATGGGGCCTCCCATGGCCTCTGTTCATACATCGTCTGTGTAGTACATAGAGGACTTTTTCATATTCAGAGAAACTAGTCCAGGGGTCAGTGGTTTGAACTTTGTCTCGTAAACGTTTGGCAGTGCTCAGAGCACAGAACTGGATTACTGTGATATGTCATAATGCCATTATCTCAGCATTCATATGTCCTTGATATATATTTCTGAAGTCATTCCTTTGCTTTAGTCCTTGTAAAATACAGAATTTCTGCCTAACTTGGTGGTTTAAACACCTGGCTGAGGACCAGAGCTTCGCAATTCAATTCCCCACTGTACCTCCGAGGGGAGGGGTGAGCCTGTGTAGCCACGGGCAAGCTGCAGTCCCAGGTTGCCCCTAGAAGATGGGAATGGTAAACAACATCTGAGTACTCTTTATCTAGAAAACCCTGAAAAAGATCACGATGAGTCCGATTTGACTTGACAGTACATTATTATTAATAATATTTTACACTTACTGTCAGAATCCCTGCCATTCAAAATTGATGTTAGTGGAAAAATTAATAGGAGTAATTAAGTTTTGTATGCATGGATTTCATCTCCTTTAAATTAACAAAACATTGTTAGCTTTCTCATCTCTGTTTCTCTCTCTTTTTTTTAGTACCTGGGATGCAAAACAGGGTCCAGTGAAAGATGCTTACAGCTTAGCTAATAATCCACAGTACAAACTGGAGGTTCAGTGTCCACAAGGTGGTGCTGCCGTGTGGGTTCTCCTCAGTAGACACATTACTGACAAGGTACTCACTCCATGCCAGTGTTCTTCTTGTGTTTTTACACCTACCAGGAGCAAGAGAGTAAAAGGAATCGCACACTTCACGGAAGTGTTTCTGTTCTGCCAAATGAAGTGTTTCTAGGCCCTGATTTCTGCACCAGGCTGCTGGTTTTCTTCCCGTTGCGTTTGAGTGTGGAATGGATTCTCAAACAGTCTGCTGTGGCATACCACTCAGCCACTGGGAAATGCCTACCATGCTGCAAAAACTGCAATGATAAGTTCCTGTGAGCACAGAGTTTCTGCACACGCTCACAACAGCTGCTCACTGTATTGGTGCCTATGCCTTTACTCTGGCCTTGTTCCCTCTGACCAGTCAGCCTCCATCTTAAAGGCCTGCCCAGATCAGGAGCTCTGAAGGGAGGTAATTCTTACCATTGGGCACTCTAAAAATAAAGTCTGTCATATATACGAGCGAATTGTGCCTGTCAGAAATTTGGACTGTGAAATCACCTTCCAAGTTATGGCTTTCTGAATGAGTTTTTTTTTTAAAAAAGCAAATCAAGTCAAGCACTATGTGAATAGGAAAATAGAGAGTAAAAATAAAGTTTATTTCATGATTTGTATGGGGATAAACTAATATTTTGAACTATTTTTCTACAGGATGACTTTGCACGGAACCGAGAGTTCATCACAATGGTTGTATACAAAACAGATGGGAAAAAGGTTTATTACCCTGGTATGTGCACCAATGTTCCCACCTCACTTTTCATGAATGAGAAAACCTTTTTAACAGTTGTCCCCTGTTCTTGAGAGATAGTTGGTTGGAATGGGATGCTCATCACGGGAGAATTGACTATAACAGTTTCGTGTTTCCTGTTTTCTCTTGTTTTTATCAGTATGTTTGCTAACAGTCAGTAAGAAAACTGACAACGGATCTGTTCAGGCATCGTGGTTAAATACCCCTTAAGTAAAGGTAAAGGTTTCCCTTGACAATTTTTGTCCAGTCGTGTTCGACTCTAGGGAGCGGTGCTCATCCCCGTCTCCAAGCCATAGAGCCAGCGTTTTGTCCGAAGACAATCTTCCGTGGTCACATGGCCAGTGCGACTTAGACACGGAATGCTGTTACCTTCCCACCGAGGTGGTCCCTATTAATCTACTCGCATTTGTATGCTTTCAAATCGCTAGGTTGGCAGGAGCTGGGACAAGTGACGGGCGTTCACTCCGTCATGTGGATTCGATCTTACGACTGCTTGGTCTTCTGACCCGGCAGCATAGGCTTCTGTGGTTTAGCCCACAGTGCCACCACGTCCCTTAAATACCCCTTAGCAGGTGGCAAACAAACCTAGTTCCTCAGAGTCTCTCATGCTCTCCCTTGTCTTTCCTCCACATAGCCAGAAGGAGTTTTTCAGAAGTGTCTGCTTCTACAGTTGATTCATGTACAATGTGCTCTGTTGCCTCTAACCCAAGAGTTGGTTTACAAACTCAAATTGTTTATTTGTTAATGATTAATTTTGACAAGTCAGCTGTTTTAAATCGCTGTAGTTGAAGTGTTTAGAATGGGTATACTTCAGATTGATCACCGATTCCTAGGTTTGTACATAATGGCATGTTGCACTTAATCAAAAGTAGAAAGAAAGCCTTCCAAACTGCAAGCTTGTCATGCAGAGGTATTGGAGGGGATTCAGCTGGAGTATGTGAATCTGCAGGAGGCGACTCTGCTTATGCACCATAACATCTGAAAATCGCCTTTGACTGCTTTTTAATCATCATCATCTCAGAATTGCAAAGCTGGAAGGGACCTTATGGATCATTGAGTCCAGCTCCTGTCAAGGAGGCCCAGTGGAGGATCAAATTCCCAGCCTATGGCTCTGCAGCCGGAGACCTTAAACCACCAGCTTATCCAGCAGTTCTACTCTAGCAGTTTTCTTCAAGGAGTCTGTTTTATTAAAATTAGCAGAATCTGCATTTGTTTTGCTTTATCACAAATGTCTTCTGTTCATGTTAAATTCACACATAAGATTTTCATCTATACCAGGATGGGCAGCACATTGTCTAAGGGTCAGATTTGTCCCCCTTACCTATTTTACAGCCAGCTCTTCAGTCTAAACTGTGACATCTTCTCCCTTCCTGTTAGCTTCAGAAAAAATAGATTTTCTGCCTTACAGTCTCACATGATCCCATAGCGCAGGGAATACTCTAGCACCCTCCTGCATCACAGAGAGAGCTGCTGCTATAGTGACAACAAATGTAGCCATACTTCATAGTCAATAGTGCAGCAGAAGGTGACTGGATTGCACCCACTGTGTTCTAGCAAATTGCATGTGGCTCCCTAAGCTATGTGAAAGCATTTCCAAATATACATATTGTTATTTCTTTTTCAGCTGATCCTCCACCATATATTGATGGGATTCGAATCAATAGTCCACACTACCTGACCAAGATAACATTGACTTCTCCAGGAACCCATACATTTACTCTGGTGGTTTCACAGTATGAGAAGCAGAACACAATTCACTATACTGTCAGGGTATGTGCTTATTGGGAGCCTTGTGAATAGGTGTGGGTATGTATGAGGGGGGTAAATGTGCACCATCACAAGCAGCAGCCATTTTAAGATGTAGTGGGCATTTGCTTCAAGGCAGTTTCTAGCAGCAAGCGACTAGGCAAATAATTATTTTACAGCTCAATTTGTGTAAGGATTATACAGTATTAGAGACACTTAATACATAGCTGTGGGAAGCATCATACAGATGCTACGAACAAAACTTGTTCTACTGGGAAAGTCTTAAATTGGGTTTGTCTATGTGGCTGAGCTGCAGTGGGCTAAATGGGGTTGCTAGGAGGTCTGGTATGCCAGTCCTCACATCCAAGGATTGTGTGCAGTCATCACATCCAAATGGCATACGGACATCAAGCAACCTTGTCTGGTGCACAGCAGCCTTCCATCAATTTGCTAAAATATCAAAATGGCTTAAGAACAAAGTCATTTCACAATATTGGCAAATTAAGCACTTCTTTGGTTTTGTGGAGGGACTGAGGAAGTGGAAAAATGTTTAAATTTATTATTAGAGTGGTGAATATGCACTGTGTCACTTTAAAACAGTGTTAGGTATGCATATTTACAAGTTAGGTATGTGTATTAGGTATATCCTATACCTACCTAATACACATTCCCAAAGTTTTTTTAAAGTGATGCAGCGTATATTCACTGCTTTAATAGACAAACCTCGACAGCATCTTAAAAAACAGAGACATCACCTTGCCAACCAAAGCCCGCATAGTCAAAGCTATGGTTTTTCCAGTAGTGATGTATGGAAGTGAGAGATGGACCATAAAGAAAGCTGACTGCCAAAGAATTGATGCATTTGAATTGTGGTGCTGGAGGAGGCTCTTGAGAGTCCCCTTGACTGTAAGAACAAACCTATCCATTTTGAAGGAAATCAACCCTGAGTGCTCACTGGAAGGACAGATCCTGAAGCTGAGGTTCCAATACTTTGACCATCTCATGAGAAGAGAAGACTCCCTGGAAAAGATCTTGATGTTAGGAAAG